CAGAGACAGAGCTTTGAAGTTTGAAGATGATCTTCATGTCCATGCTGCTTGACACCGTTTTGTGACGCGCTCTAGTTGTTCTGTGTCGGCAAAGTTTGATCAGGTCTTGGAACGAACGGTCTGCCTTTGGTCTCTTCTTGAAAACAACGGATCGGACGGTCCAAGATACAGGGAGTTCCAGGCTCATCCAGGCTGGGACCTCTGGTGGCGCGAACTTGCCAACCGGGCAGGTCTAGAGCAATCAATTAATCACGTCTAGTCTGTCGCCAGAAATTGACGTGGTCTGACGCTCCTGCAACGGGTGCGCCACACGAGCTCAGCGGCTCATGTGTATAGAGTGAAATGACATGGGCGTCGTGTCCCGGCGGCGGTTGGTCTTCGTGACCATTTATGGGCGACAGACGGTTCAGCCCGGGGGACCATCATAACCGCCGTAACTACCGTACCTGTATTTGATTTCGGCGAAAAATAAATAATTATTAGGCCGGCTGAAATTTTCAGAGAATATCTTGGGGCGATAATGGTTCGATAATGGTTATTTTTGCAGGTAACGTCGAGCCTGCTGAAAGGAATAAAAGTTTCATAATTAACTATTTTGCGTCGAAGGTGCCGAAATCAAATACAGGTACGGCACTGAAAAGTGGAGCATGATGCACGCTCCAGTACTCCTGGAGGTTGCACATGGACGCCAATAATTTTCATTGCAAGAAGATTACCGTGCTGAGTGTGCTGCTTCAGCTGAGCTGGCGCATGGTGCTGCATATCTACCTACTAATACCAGGGTGAAAGGTGTCTGAAAAGCAGAGCTGAGGAGACAAAACTTAGATCCAGATTGTTCAAGAACGACAACCTTTCTGTTGGAGCGCTGTTCACGGCAAAGTGGCTTGAATGCAGGCGGAGGGGACCAACGGAAGGAGAGTTGGAGGGGTCCTTTCCAATCAACTCAGAACAGCACGCAAGCCCGGAGAAGCCAAGAGTTCATTGCCTAAAGAGAGAAAAGGCTAGGAGAAACCAAAGCTTTGGCTTTCCATTGAAGTACTAAGGAGCTGCATTAGGACAGGGAGCCTGCAGAAGAACTTGACAGCTGTAAGGAAACAACGATGGTTGCTTCTGTAGAGATGACGCAGAGAGTGGCAGCTGTGGCACTTGTTCTCGCCTTGGGGATTGCTATGCAATCAGTGCACGGAGCGCCTTTCATTGTGGAGACAAACAGTCTGCGGGTTAAGACTACTGGCCAAGTCTATGATACTGCAATGGCCGCCGTAAGTACTTCAATGGCTTCGCTCTGTCTTTGCAATTCTCATTGAAGTCTCTATTGCGAGACTGTCAAACTGTAGTATGAGACCCAACTTCTGTTACTGAGCTATGCACTCATTGAACCCGTGCTCCAGTGAGTGATGACAGCTGTGACGTGGGCTTATGCACAGCACAGTCAGTCTGGGGGTGGTCGTACCGATGGTTTTGGAAAGGGGACTGGTGTTCAGGTCCTCATGTTGCTCGAGCGGGCTGAGTTGCCACAACATACGCGGAAGTTTAGGGAATTGTGATAACCACTATGCACCAGTCCGCTGGAAACGTCTACTAGAATTCACAAGATACTATCATGCGTGGCACGCGAATCCCTCCCGGTGGCCAGCTGAAGCTCCATAATCATCTCCACCACCGTATTACAGAAACTCAATGAACAGAAGCTCAATGACCAGTTGGCTATTTCTTTCTACCAGCGAATGATCCGGAGCACAGAACTGTGAAAGCTGTTGAACGCATCACTTATCAGTCTCTTCTTCAGCTGACTTTGGACCTCAAACAGCGACGAGAGAGCGGTGTCATACAGCTCTGCCAGTGGGCAAGCGCTCCCCCTGACAACTCCCAGGTTAACGTGCCAGATTAACAGCCCAAGTTAACCTGCTAGGTTAAGAAGTATTCTCCCTGGGCTCGTGCAGTTTGGAGTTCCCAACTACGGAGGCTCACTGACCGGGCAGCTGGTGTATGTCAGTGCCAATGCCCAGGCGTGCACGCCTTTTGCAGAGTCCCTGACAAAGGGCTTGACACCGGGCCAAGTCCCAGTGGCGCTCATCGAAAGGGGTGGTTGCACATTCGTGACTAAGACAGTGAACGCCCAAGCTGCTGGTGCGTCATCTTCACACCTACATCTCATTCTGGAGTTGGATTTTGCCAATGACCTAGCGCGAAAGAGGATGTCTAAGGAACACAGAGCCTAGGCACCCCAGTCTTTCCAAGTAAACTCTTGTTCTTTCTCAGCTAAGGGGTCTCTGAAATGGTCGTTGTTGGTTGAATGTTAGCTCGTTCAAGGAGGTGAAACGAGAACAGTGCATTTGAAACAAAACAGAACTCCTGGCGATGAAGCAGAGGGGAGGGGTTGGGAGAAGAAGTGACTTTCAGCTAGGCTGAATGTTGGTAGTTCGAGAGGCTATGTACGCAAAAGATTGATCAGGAGCTCAACCTATCTGAAAGCTGGAGAATCTAGCAGGACCCGCAAGTGCATGGCACCATAGAAGGCAAAATTGACAAGTCCTGCGTCCAAGGAGATACCACTGAGCCAGCAAGTCCACTTTTTCCATAAAGAGCCTCGTCCAGGCTTCAGCAGCTTGACCATGCCAAAAAGGCCCAGCCGGTTGTGGAGAATGCCTTCTAAACATTGGCCAGGCCTTTCACTTCTGAACCGTCCGAGGAACCTTTTGGAACCGAAGTGCTTCAATTTTCACCAATACGAGAAATCAACAATCAGGGTGGAGACGCAGAGGCTGAGCTTAAAGAGGGCGCCACGCAGTTCCTAACACTGTGGAGCAGAATTATTGCCTGACAGTCCAGTCACTTGCTCCCGCAAGTCAAGCCCTTGAAGCTGCTTGTAGTGACTGGGAGGTGTCACTGCGTACACGGCTTCTTGACAAAGAGGGCTGTACTTAAGGTGTACAAGCTGTACTTAAGGCTGCACTTAGGGCTGTACTCAACAAGCACAGCGTTTGTGTGCAGGAGCCCAAGCGGTGCTGGTGGTTGATAACACGTTTGAGGCGCTCGCTACCATGGCTGTGGTGAGGTCTACTTCTGTCATTCTTCCTTGATCCGTCGCTTTACGCACCTGTTTTCAATGTTCTTTTCTCCTTGCTTTCTTCTGTCGTGCTTCAAACCTCCTGCGCCACCATGTTGAAGGGGTGGTTCTTCGGCTCTACTTCTCCTCATTTTAGCCTTTCCCTCCCTTTTCCCCCAGCTGCTTTGCAATGGCTGTTTGTTCCTTAACTCTTCCTTTTGCGGTTTTATCTTATCTTTCTTGTCATGGTGAGTCGCTTGTCTTTGCTCTTGCTGTCTTGCTGCTTAAACAAGCCTCAATCCAGATCTGAAGATCGTCCACTGGTTGCTACTACTTTCTACTTTGCTGCTTTCATCTTTCGTGCCGTCTAATGTGGGCCCCCTCTCGCCTTCCCCGGTTAATATTGTTGCTTTCTTCCTTTCTTTCCCCACCACCTTCACCATTGCAGCATCGGCTGAATCATATTTGGCTCCTTACGCTTTTCAACGAGTCCTCTTCTGCTTGGTCGCCCGTCTGTTCTCAACGAGTCCCTACCTTTTCTCTCCTTATCCGCATTTGCTGCAAGCCTCTCTCTGCCCCTTGACAAGCTACGCATACCTTTTAATCACTTTGGCTGATAACCGATGCTTCTGATCACGAGGACTTTTCCCCAAAGCATCAAATAAGATAAAGCCGGATAGGATCCACATTGTAAGAATTAGAAAGCCAACCCTCGCCCAGGATTCACCGTCAACTCTGCTTCCGAAGGTAGCCGACTGTGACTGCATCACTTACTCTGAGATGCAAACCCGAACTCCAAAACGCAGACGGACGACCGGGACGTCCGAAGCTGGACTCAGGGCGAGTCGGTCACCGTTCCAGTTGCCATGATAGCCATGAAGGACGGGCGGGCGCTCCTAGACCAACTTACGAACGGCGAGCAGATTGTTGTGGAGATGGACTGGCGGGAAGCGATCCCGCATCCGGACAACCGAGTAGAGTGGGTGAGTCGCCAGCTGTCGAGTCCTGCTCAGTGTATTCACGTGCGTAAGACGTGACACCTCATATCTGAGGAACCTCTTTCGATTATACGAGCACTGTGATCGAGGGGCATTCTGCAAAAGGTACTTCACGATTGCCGTGCCGTTCAATCTTCTTGGTGAGGTTTTTGACGATGTAAAGGCGATCTAAGGGCGGAGGCTCGGTATAGCTGGTGCGTCGAGAACGCTATCAAAGTATTGGATATCGGAGTCGAAAAATCGAAGAGAGGCTCGTGTGAAAGGAGTCGCCGGCTTTTGCAACTTTCCATTGGCTTCTAATCAAAGACCGAAGCGCGAGGAATTCTGAGTCTGGAAACTTCGGAGTTTAACATCAAACAGAAACGGAACCCCTCTATGCTTTCAGGAATATTGGGGAACCAGCTCCGGCGAGTGCGGTGCGATGTGCGGGAAGCAGGCCGCGTTCAAGGTGGACTTCGCCGGCATCGCCAAGGAACTAGAGCGAGGGGGCTACACGCTCTTCACTCCGCACTTCCTGGTAATCCTTCACCCTGAAGAGGGCTTGATAATATTTGGGCCGCTTTGTGACAAGACGGTGGTTCGTTTGTAGATCTTGTGCTGCAGCATACGAGCGGCGTTCGACACGGTTAGCGATGGTTTTCAGGAAGCTTCAGATGGTACAAGGCAGTCCTGAGGTTGCTTTGATGCAAGGACGTCTGCAGCTTTTGGTACCGTGTGTGACGTGCGAAGCTCGCCGTTGATCTGAGGTTCTTGGTGCCTTCGAGGATGAGATGCAGGAAGGGCTCCTGTCGCATAGCGCCAGGCTTGCTTTTGAGGAATGAGATTAGATACCGGCGGTTGTCAGCTCGTTCTGACGCCTCTAAACCTCATACGCCAACCTATCGAGGCCCTTAGACGAACGCCGGAGCAACGCCTGACCTTCAAGCGTTCATGCTAGGAGCCTTTCTTTCGTAGTGTGTTTGCACCACTTCGACTGGTCTGAGCTGTTGATACGTGATTTTCTTTCGGTCTGGGCGTTGTTTCATCGAGGTGTTGAAGACTTCCTTTTTACGTGTGTCGCAGATGTGGCCCTGCCCATCCGCGCCCGGCGCTCAGACGTGCACCATGAGCTGCATCGCCAATGGCCGCTACTGCGCAAGCGTGAGTGGATTGTAGGCTTAGGGTTTCGGGGTATTTGGACTTAAACGCCGCAACTCCGGTTCTGATGTTCTCGCATGTGCGTTCCACGTGTCTAGACAGAAGCTGAGCAGAGTCGGTTATAGGAGAAGCTGGGCCTACAAGCTTGCTGGTATGCATTTGATCGAAGGCGATGGACCGGCAGAGACATTTTTCTGGACACTTGTTCCTTGCCGATGCTTTCTGCATCACAATCAATTCAATTCACTTCGGAAGCCCCCGGGCATTAGGATATCTTCAAGGCTCATCAGAGCGGAAACGCAACGGGATGGCATCGACTACTAGAGCACCGCCTTGGCAACAGGATGAAGCTCGCTAGAATTACGCCCGCTCAATCCCTTCGCTTAACCCTAGTACTCATCCACAGCCCCTGTGATCCAGAAGACCGTACTTCGAGGCCTTCGATTACCATAGCTGGGATGGGTGGCAACCACTTGCCTTCGTCATCGCAACTCTGGGCAGGACTTGGTGCTTTCACGCAAATCAGTGCTGTTTCAAAGAAAGCGAACCACCCCGCTTGAACTGTCGTTTTCATGGAATAAAAAGAATTTGCTTTATTCTGCAGGATCCCGACGGCGACAGCTCTGCAGGCTACTCCGGGGCGGATGTTGCTCGGGAGAACCTCAGGTGGGGCTGCGAATCGGTCACCGCTCGCTCTCGCTCTCGCTTTCGCTATGCTTTCTGGGTGCTGTTATCAACTTTGCGCTCCTGTCAACCGTCTCAGCAGATTCCCTCGAGTCACGAATACATCCAAATCCGTCTTGAAACCCGACCCAAATTCTTCATGTTCAACCTAGAACGCTTTAATCGTCGTTCTCTGATAAGCTGTGCCTGATCTTCTTTCCTGACCGGCACTAAGTCTTCAGAACACGTCCCCAGCCAGCCCCAGCGCTCTCTTGGTATCGAACCCTTACCACCTCCCTCAAGGCCACTATGCCTGTTTCATTCGCTGGACGCTGCTCGCACTCCTTAAACCCCTTAGGACCTATTTTACGTTGATTGATTGGGTCGCAAGTTGACATCTGAAATCCGCCTCCAATGCTCTCGATGTGTCGTAAGATAATTTTCTAAAACTTTTACTTCCTTTTCCCCAGGCAACTGTGCCTGTTCAAATCCCTCACTGCCGCCGGCCCTCCTTGGGACTGGTGGACGTACGTCACGTCGTTGACACTTCGCCCCTCACAAATACATCCGAAAGCAGCCTCCAACGCCGCTAGTGTGTCAATTTATAAACTTTACAAAAATATCAAAACCACAAAACCCTTATTTCCTTTCCCCCAGGCAACTCTGCCTATTCAAATCCCTCATCGCTGCCGGTACTCCCTGGGATTGGTGGACGTACGTCACGTCCTTCGACGCGCAGTGCTCCTTCCGGAACAACCGCTTCACGCCCGAGTGCGCTTACGACATCATGACGGGGCTCGGTGCTGACGTGGCAGCCGTCAAGGAGTGCGAGAGCGGCGCAGACCTCGACCAGCCGCACCCGCTGCTGGAAGTGAGCGATCTAACTGCGACGTGTACCTTTGAGGGTTATGTAGTGAGAGTTTTGACATCGTGGGCTTCGGCCGTCTAGACATTGAAGTTGTTGCCTTGTATAGTGCTTGCACTTGCGAGTGCGTCTGAAGTTGCCCCTCGCGCCAGTCTGCAGATCTTGTACTAGTTGCCATCAATGATGCGCCAGAAGCCTGAAGAAGTTTTCTTTTAAAGGTGCGGATGCCTAAACACTTCCAACACATCTGGCACAGTTTGACGGATCGTCCAGAAGCTTACGCGGCAGCTAAGAGGAACTGCCGCCTCTCTTCTTCCGCTCGCTTATGCATTCTTACACCGTGAAACCCTAGATAGTCGTCTCCTGCAACTTCAAGCTGATCTTCCGCCAACCAAGTCATTATTCTCTTTCTTCCGCGTTCTAACCCTGTCCCAAGAAGAGCTCTCCTCCGAGCTGGACCGCAAAACGGCTTCGTTAACCCTTTCAGTAACCCGCCTCGTGACCCCCTGTGCCAGGCGGAGCTCTCGTCCAAGATGGACCAGGAAGGCAGCGGCCGCGGCCAGGTCGTCTTCCTGCCAACCGTCGTGGTTAACACCAACCAGTACCGGGGTCGCCTTAACCCGTCCAGCGTACTTAAGGCCATCTGCTCCGGCTTCGACGTCGGGTCCGAACCGTCGGTCTGTCTCAGCGGAGCGGTCGAGACCAACGAGTGTCTGGACAACAACGGAGGGTGCTGGGCGGGCCAGAACGTGACCGCGTGCGTCGACACTTTCAGGTGAGTATGTGACTTGTCGAGCGGAGGTTTCTGAGAATTAGATCCTTACTTGAAAAGGGACACGTGACGCAGTTTCGAGCTCCATCTTGGATAGGTAAAGTCGAACGGCTACTGTGCTATCGCCCTCACGAGGCTTCGACTTTCGTGGTTATTTTATCTCGATTATTCAGGCCTGTTCAGTAGAACTTCGAATGCGTGTAACGATCGCTTTGGGAAGGTTTGAAAATACTCCCCCTGTGTGTTGGGACATAGGAGTGACCATAACTCCGGCCGTCGAATCCTGGCTCCCAATTTTCTGGGTATTCCCAGGGGCCGAAACTTTGCGTGCCTGACGTACCGAGGTTTTTGCTTTACCCGTCCGGAATTGCAAAATTCCGGGATTAGGGCCGATACTCTTACAGAGCCCATGAGCTGTGCCCTGACGACGGTTCATGTTGCGATCCTTCGAATGTGGCCTCATCCTTTCGTGGCTTTCCCAGGTGCTGCGGGTGTGCGTGCCTAAGGGGTATCTAGGAGCAGCTATTGCGGCAATCCTCGAAACATTGCTCACTCTTCTTGGGTTCAGCTTTTATGAATTTCTCGAAATGTGGGTCATTCTTTTTGTGGGTTTCCCAGGGGCTGGAAGTGTTCGTGCCCGACGGGGTACCTTGGAGACGGCTACCAGTGCCGCGACCTGAACGAGTGCACCGACGTCGATTCCGCCTGCCCCGCCGACGAAGTCTGCGTCAACAGCCCCGGCTCTTACCGATGCGTGAGTGCCAGTTCTCTCCTTCGCTTTCTTTCCCTAGTTCAAATTTTCTGGAGTTCACAGGCTTTCCTTTCAATCTGTGTCATTGCCCCTTCATGTCCAATGCTCAGTTCTTCTTTGTTGTGGGCAGTTGGTCTTTTTGATTTGTCGCAATCAGGTGTGTGCTGCCGAGTGCTTTATCTTTCGTTTGTATCCGTTCCAAGCTTGCAATTGGACGCACGACTCGTATGCGGAAGAGCTTTGGATAGGCATCAGCCCGGCGCACCTCCAAGGGTAGCGAGGGCTAGACCTGCTGCCGTTGAAAAGCAGATGGACACGAGCATGCAACCGGCGACCAACACAAACACTCGCTGCATAATGTGGAAAAGATGGTCTGCTGCATACATTCCTCACTGAGACACGAAGTCTGGCCTGGACGAAGCGCGCATACAGCCCTTTGTACAAAAAAGAGAGACATGAAAGCGGCTATGTTGTTTATCGACACGTTCTGGGCGCTCTCCCAACCATCACAGCAAAAAAAGACTCTTTTCTTAGCAAAAGGGCATGCGTGATAAGATCGGTGTCACACGATGTACTTAGCAATCAACAAGGGGACGACTAAAAATGTTGTTGATCCTTACAGGACTGCAAGCCGGGTTATGAGCGGTCCAAGGATGGAACCTGCGTTGAACCGAGCGGTTGCAAGAAAGACAACGGTGGATGCGCCCAGGTCAGTGGATCACTGAGAGCAGCGCGGGGTCAAAGTCAGTCGAAATTTTGCCAATCTGGATCTGGAACTCTCGCTAGCGCAAGTTGGCAATGCCTTCTGAGAAAACGAGCGACGAAGCAGAACGAGGGAAAGGGGGAGAGAAGAGGCTTTTCTTCCGCAAACAATTTTGACGCAAGCTGGCAGTCGCACGCATCAAGATTGGATGTTGTAGTTCTGTGGGCTTCCTCCCCCTTCGAGCAAGCTGGTGGAGGGTGCTATATCCGACGCAGATTTCGCTGACGTTTGTTCGTTCTTCTTCGCAGGGCTGCGTGGATGCTCCAGGCTCCCACTTCTGCACGTGCGCTTCAGGGTTCACCCTCGCCGAAGACGGCAAGGTTAGTGACAGTCGCTAAAGGCTGTTTCTGTTCATCTTCTTCGTTGTCTCCTGGCCTATCGTCCCCGCTGCTCAAGTATCCTCGTCTTGTCTCTTGAGTTGAAATTTTTGGTGTATTGAGGTTTTGATCGCACCTGGCAAAATTCTGCGAACCTTCGACCTCTGCCAGACTGGAAGCAAATGTTTCGCTTTTGCAATTCCTCTCGCGGAACTGTCGTCTTCGAATGTCGCGAAGGAGAATCAAAGTCTGATCTTGTCTCTGCAGAACTGCACCGACGTCGACGAGTGCGCAACTAACGGCGCCCAGTGCGAGCACCGCTGTGTGAATACGCTCGGCTCCTACTTCTGCGTCTGCCACGACAATTACGTCCTGTACCCCGGGGACGGCGCGTCCTGCATCCGGATGGCCACCGACGTGCCACGTGGCGCCGATCAACGGCTCGCGAGCGCGCTCGGCGTCTCATTCCTCTTCATGGTCCTGGCGGCCGCTGGGGGCTTCGGGCTCTACAAGTACAGGATGAGGGTGCGTCTGGCTGCGTCGTGTCTTTAGGCCGCGTTTTGGGGGAGCCGCGTTTGTGAATCTACTTCGACGAGAACATGACTCGCGTGTCAGCAGCGTATTAATTGGGCCTCCCCGTTCAAGAAATCATCATTCTTGATTCTGATGGTCCTTGGTCATCTCCTTTATGCTGGCTTTGCGGAGATTGAGAGCTGTTCAGGCCCCGAAGACAGAGCATCAACGGCAGCGAGCGGGAAAAGTTGGTCTGATCTGAGGACCGAATTTGTGGTCTACAGCATCTCCTTTTCCTCTCGGGCTTCAAGCTGTCGACGCCCCTAAAATGCGCTTGAGAGACGGTCTTAGGGAGAAAGGCGAAACACATGGAGTGGCGCTGCGATGCAGCTGTATCACTCACTGGAATAATATCTCCCTTTACAGGCTGCGATGGAGGAGGAGATCCGCGCAATCATCACAGAGTACATGCCTCTCGACGACGATCCTGAGATTGGCCTCGAAGACAAAAGCGCCCCATCAACGTCGGCGTTCCAAAAGGCAACTGTCGCGCCAAGCAACGCAGCGGAGTCTTCCACCAGCGCTTTATTGGAGGCCAGGGATGCCCCCTAAGGGAGGCGCTGACTGGGGCTACTTCTCGGATGCAATTTGTTTCGGAAGGGAAACGGGAAAGGGATCGTGCGCTCTCAAGAAAGGAAAGCAGATAAGGTCCCGTTCTCATAGCTCCACATGTCAGTGTCAACATGCGCCCTGATTCGCAAGAGGAGCAGCAAGGCACACTTTGGGGTACTTTCAGAGCGCTTGGCTAGTATGTTCTCGCGCCGTGCGACGTAGTACACCGAGGTTGCACGCTGGGCGAGCAGCATTGCGAGTGCACACTGCCATTTAATGGGGATGCTCATTCGTGAGCAGGGTTCTTCGGATGTCCGTTGGGATTGCATTGAAGGTGTACGATAATGGTTGTGATTGTAGCTCGAACTAGTACGCATTGAACTCCATTCGAGTAGAAGCCTAGAGGCATCGACAGTAAGTAAAACAGGTCAGAAAATCAGTGAAGTAGGTGTAGAGTAGTCACTTTAGCTCCTGGTCCGTAACCTGCGGGGGTTGAAGTTTCAATTGTAACAGTAGGGTTTTAGTCCCGTTGGTTGTGAGCAAGACTGAGGTAGACTTCAAGCCAGAGGTCCCATTCAGAAACTCGTGACTTCGTAGGGAGAAAAAACTAGGTTAGTGGACACCCTTATATAGTATATTAGATACAAAGTATGCTAGTAGACAGGGACTCAGTAGACATAGTATGGTAGGAACTGGTACAGCATATGGTGGTTATAGATCAGCTCCGGCGCAAGGCTAACGCAACGAACTGCTCCAGAATTGCACCGTAGCTAGGTTCCATGTTGGTTTAGTACCAGTACCTTGCCAGGGATAGGGACTCAATTTAGCCTTTGTGCAAAAGAAGTTGCTAAGCACATATCAGGTTTCCCAAATCACATGCAGTTAACAAGCAGTACGTACGTGGCTAATAGTATGTAGATCTCCGTCTTGTTTAACCGCCGCAGCATGACGAATTGCAAGCGCATTATTGAACGAATTCTATAGCCGCCAACTAGACGGTGGGCTGCCCTCAGTTCCTTAAAACTTTGACTTCACAATTACTAAGTATGTACGCGGTCTATACGTATAAGTGCATGCCGAGCTCAACCGTTCAGATCAATTGCATAGAAGTTCTCATGTGATATATGCATATGGATCAGACGGTCCGGTCAGAAATGTAGGATGCTACATATAGGCACATTACATGCATACATTAGCACCATGCATGGTTCCCGCGGCCATCTTCAAGCTTCAATTGATTGGATGCATAACGTTCGCACATCGTCACGAGCCGCGCCGCTTAGAAGTCTGAGCCACATGCAAGAAGCAAGAAACAAATGAACTTACATGACGCGGCCCAAGGAATCGAAGAGGTTTCACAAGATGGAGATGTGCACACTTGAATGCACCCCAAGTTTGGCTGCAGGATACGATACATGTAGCATTACAGGACTGAACTTCTAGCTTGGACTCTACGGAGTCATAGATACTAGAAATCGTTGTCGCTAGGATTCTCTTCTTCGTCCTCTTCTTCTGACCCACCCTCGTCTTCACTAAAGTCTTCGTCGTCGTCCGCTATCAGGTCATCCTGGAAGAGAGGAATATACGGTTATTAGCCCCAACCTCTCAATCAACGCCGTAGGAATAGAAGCCGACCATAAGCAGAGCGTTCTGTAAACCAATTTGCAAGGACAACCCGACGGTCTCTCTCTTATAGTCCATAACCAATAATCAAAATGATTCCTTAGGTCTTGTTCGAGATTCGCGATCGCAACCGAGTTGCCGAACTTGCCACAACCCACACGCAACAGGTAACCAGAGAAGAAGACACAATCCATCAATAACCATCCAAAACGAAGCGGTTTAGTGATCAGACCACGACTCTAACCCCAGACGACTCATCCCCGTTCAGAGTGAGGTGCGCCAGTTCCGAGATGAGACTTGGATCCTTTACGACCCACACGGAACCGGAAGCCGAGAAACACAGAGTCCCTCCAAAACCAACTAGATGACGAAGTAACTTGATATCATTCACAGCGCGGACGCTCACCCCAGACGACTCGTCTCCATTCAGAGTGAGGTGCGTCGATTCCGAGTCTTCGCCCCCGTCCACATCTCGGACGTCTTCGTCGCTCAGGTCCGACTCGTCGTCCTCGGGGTCTCGGCCCACAGCGGTTCCGCCCCGCGAGCTCGCCCCGGAAGAAAGACCCGGGCGCTGACCTACGAAAGCGCCCTGCGCAAGAGGCGCAAATCAGGGATTAGATGTGCCTACGTATTTTAGAGGACGTTTACCATTTGATTGGAAGGGCTTCTGTTTAATTCCCAAAAAGAAGAGATCTCGCCCACCGCGGTTCCGCCCCGAGAGCTCGCCCTGGAAGATAGACCCGGGCGCTGACCGGCAAAAGCGCCCTGCAAACGAGGGGTAAAGCGAAGTGAGGACTTAGGTGTGCCAAAAGCACAACTTTTACCGATTTTTTTTTCGATTATTTTGAAGGGCAACCCTTTAGTTTTCCCTAAAGGATGGATCGCGGCCGCGGCGGCCCCGCCCCTACAGCTCGCCCGGTGCGAAAGACCCGGGCGCTGAGCGATGAAGGCGCCCTGCAAATAGGCGTAGAATGGACTGAGAACTTGACTTTGCCGACGTCACGAAGTTTCCTGGAAGGATCACCGATTGTTTTGAAGGGCAGTTCTTTGGCTTCCCGTAAAGAAGCGATTGCGGCTGCAACAACTCTTCCCCGAGAGCTTGCCCCGGGAGAAAGCCCCGGGCGCTGACCGGCAAAAGCGCCCTGCCGAAGAGGGCCAGAGAGGCGTTCAGCAGAGGGAAAGATTCAGTGTCCCCACGTCACCGTTGTGTCAGGAACTTACAGCCTCCGACTTTCGAAGGGCAATTTTCTTAGAGTTGCCCTTCACGATTTTACTCGCTAAAGACAAGGTCGCGACCCACCGGCGCCCCCCCTTCGATGGCTTGCCCCGGATGAAAGCCCTGAGCGCTGTCCAGAAAAGGCGCCACGCAAATCCCGACATTCTCAACATAAGTAGGATCTAACATGACAAGAAGCTCATAGTAGCACTGAAAATTTTAACCGGGTCATTGACCTGCTCCGCACTCGTACCTACCATCAAACCCCCCAGCTAACCCTACCCATCCCAGGAGGTTACCTTAATTTTGCCTCAGCTTCTTATTCAGCATTCTTGAGATCGTTTGAAGGAGTTTCAGCGAGGCGGTCAGACAGAGAAAGCTTACGAGGGCGGCTGTCTCAGAAAACTTAGAAAATGTGGAACGTTTAGGGTATTCCGGAAGTCCCTTCGAAAAAGCAGCGTTGGAGCCAGAACGTTTTACTGAGACGACGGCGGCGGACCTCCTTGTTTTCTGCCTGCTCGCGTGCGTGTGCGCAGAAGAGCGGCTTCACATTCTCGAAAGCGCACACCAACATTCGCCTAAGCCCGCCCTGGCCGTTCCGCCGCATTTACGTAAAGCTTTCAAGCGCAAAGTCGCAAAAACCTGGATCCCTGAAAACCTCATAAACCCCACCTTGGTTTCTGCCCGCCGGCCAGAGCCGCCCGCGGACTGCCTGCTTGCGAACATGCGGGCGGGGAAATCTACAGGATTTGGGAGAGACTAGCGCCACCGCTCGATCATTTCCCTCGCTCATAGCCTTACAACCATATATGCAGGAATGCCGACACTGTCCCCACCTTGCTTTGCATTTCCGCCCGCCGGCCCGAGCCGCCCGCGGACTGCCTGCTCGCGGGCGTGCGCGCGGCGGAGCGGCTCCTCTGCGAGCTCGCCGCGCGCGAGCTGTCCGCCTCCTCGTCCGAGTCGTCCGCGTCCGCCTTGGACTCGTCCACGGACTGCTCGCCGCGCAGGATGCGCTGCTCCTGAAATGACAGGTGGCAATCTTATGAGCAAGACAATCCACGTCAAAGATTGGCGTCCAATCGTGTAGCTCACGGACTGCTCGCCTTGCAAGATGCGCTGCTCCCGGAAAGAGGAGAACAAGTCACCTTAGCAGCCAAAACTCTCCGTTCTGTTTACTCTCTCTTGAGATTGCTGTAGTTCGAAGCATCTTTAGAAGGTGTCGAATGCTCGCCCCGCAGGATGCGCTGCTCCTGGAAGTCGAAAAAGGCGCGATTCGTTCAAGCTTTTGACAAGCAAGCTGAGATTGGCGTCCATTCCGAATAGCTGTACCTCACGGACTGCTCGCTGCGCAGGACGCGCTTCTCCTGGGGCGAGAAAGAGGGACTCAGTCAGCGACCAAGATGCACGGCTGAAGCATGTCCATCCGTAGAATCTGTATCAAGAATTTTCTTTTGTCACTAGAAGAACTACGACATTCCAAGAATCCTGGTACCTTTACCCGCGCGGCAAACCGACGGCCCGCGGTAAGGGAGAGTCAAACGTCTGACCGCGACCTGCAGGAGGGCGGAGCAAGAGTCGCATGCTTTTGGGAGTCAGCAAACATACAACTGGGTTCATACAGCCCTTTCCCTTTATCTCATCTCCCCCATCTTGTCCTTTATTGTCTGCTGCATCCGCTTGAGCCTTGCACTCGCTCACGTCCAGACGCTCCCATATCTTTCAAACGCTCGAAAGCCCTCGACGGAGAAGCTCTAAAACCAAAATCCTTGCATCCTGAACAGTCCACCTCATCCTTGATCCGGTGATGCAACAGCTTGAGCGCGCGCTAGGTACGCTCCTCAAACTCTAAACCCCATTGAATGTTGAAGAAAACAAAGTATAGCTATCCTCAAACCCCCAAAATCCTGAGACCCCTAAAACTGTGAACACCTGAAAGCCAAACCCAACCTGGTCCTTGATTCGCCGCTGCATTCGCTTCAACGCACGCCGCTTGTTGTCCAGACACTCCTCCAACCCCAGTAAGAAACCCTGAGCCACAATGTCTGAACCCCAAAAACCCAAATTCCTAAAGCCCTGGAAGCTAAAACCCCCACCTCGTCCTTGATCCGCCGCTGCATCCGTTTGAGCGCGCGCTCGCTCTCGTCCATGCGCTCCTGCTCCTTGCGGTTGTGCGCCTCGAGCTGCCCCTCCAGCCACTCCAGGTTGCGGAACTTCTCCATGTACGTCGTGAAGAGGCCCTGTAAGTCGCCCTGCAGCTTCTCGTACTCGTCCATGTACGCCGGCCTGGCAAAAAAACAGGGCTTTTCAGTTCACGGACAGATCAAAATCGTTATGGTACGCAACAGGTTCTGACTGAAGGGTTAGGCGTAGTTTCGGTTTCTGCGTTGCCTCGAGCGCTTGCCACAAGCTGAAACACTGAGAAGAGGCCCTGTAAGTCGAAATGCAGCTTCTCGTACTCGTCCATGTACGCCGGCCTGGCCATAAACAAGGCCTCTCAGTCCTCGCTCAACCGAGACCGGAGTTGGTGTGCTAAGCAACGGGCTTCTCATTCAACGGTGGGCCGACGGTTTAGCTCTCCAGTCTCCGTTCTAAATTCAAAGCGCTTGAGACGAGCTGGCAATAAAGAGGGCCTGTGATATATCTCCCGTACTCGTCCATGTGTACCGGGCTACCAGAAACAGGGCCCTCAGTGACGGGTTAGCATGCCCCGTAAGCAGCGAGAATTGCACTTAAACGCCCCTTGTTCAGCCAAACAAAACCTTTCTTTTCTTGGATGCCATCGCGACCTTTCGTCGTTTACCGGACCATAGCACCTACTAACGATGCCCCTCGTGACTTAGACGCCCACCGACAGATTTCGATTGTCAAAAAACGACCCTCGGACACTCACTCGAGGCTCCAAACGACTTCCGAACGGAAGATGACGTCCTAACAGACGCCCACTCAAACGAGCTCTGAGTTGAGGCTCGTTGCCGACCTCTGGACGCACTGCATAGGACCCGAAAGACGGCCGGACAACAAGTGACGCGAACAAAGAATTCTTGGACCACGAAGCCTCATGGGAACGCTCACCGGACGCTCTGCAGCGTGCTGAGGCGCTTCTCGCTGCGCTCGAGCTCCGCGCGCCGCTTGTCGATCTTGGTCCGCAGGTGGTCCTCGTCCGTCCGCAGCCCTTCCAGCATGCGGTCCGCACCCAGGATGTTTTCCTGGACGGCTTGCACGGCCTGCCGCACCGCGCGCTCAATCGCGTCCATGTCCATGTTGCGCGCAATGGCGGCTTGCCGGGCGTCCTGGAGGATTTGTGGGAGAGCTCTTTATGAGAAGTTGTTTCCTGGAGATCCGATGATTGACTTGTAGTCTGATGGTCTACAGTGACTCTGTTTCAGGCAATTCTTAGACCTAATCAATGTACAGACGTTGTTGTCTGATGGTCCACAAACAGTGTTTTCTTTCAAGCAATTCGTGACGTGATCAATGTTCAGACGTTCCTCACGGAAAAGGTTGCAGACAAGTAGGTACTTTCACATAAATGCATTGCGAAGCCCAAGTCGAAGTCGGAGTAAACACGAAGAGGCGCGCAATTATGATATGCAGCATTTGAAACTGGAGACGGAACCGGACAAGTATATGCCGGAGAACTGTTGCAACTGCTGATGCTTCCTGATGCGTTTCGGTTTAGTACGAAGAAAACCAACGGTGCGATGGAAGAATGGGGTACCTCACCCGCAACTGGGGCTCTTTATCTAGCGCATCATAAAGGGCGGCCCCTCGTTGTGTGATTTCCGTCACCAGCTGCCGTGTCTGCTTGACGTCCAGCGACTTGCTCGTGGAAAAAGTGAGCTCGTTCTCCGCTTCGTTCTGTGGATAAAATGATCGGGTTAAAATCTTGATACCATCACACAGACTCCCTTCTTGAATTATATATTCTTCGCTTTCCTGAAAATAGATGTTGGGCATATCAAAGCAGGCCATAGCTTCGTGTTCAGTGGAGCCCGGCTGAGATCGCCCGCTTCCGAAATCGTTTTGGTGGCTCCCTCTTACCTTCTTTGAGTCAGTAAGGTAGCCAAGTGAGGAAAGTAAATCGGCTGAAATTGTTTGATAACAGCTTGAGCAAAAGCACAATTCAAAACCTGTGGCTGAACTCCGATCAATCTTGTTCGAACTCCGATCAGTCTTGTTCGAACTTTCATGAAGCCTTTAAGCATGAGGATCATTTGGGAGGATCAATTGGTATTCTCAAAACAAAAGGTGCTGATAGCTTACCTCCTCCTCCTCTGGCATGTTGAGTGCCTTGTACAGGACACTCGCAATCTTCAGAAGCTCCCGCACGGCATAGCCATCTGCAGCGTACAGCTTCTTCAGGTTCAACTTGATGCGGCCTTTGGTCAACTGCAGGCGACAAGTTGCATCACTTTCAGCTACAAGTCTGAAAGAGTTCTCCACACAGACTCTGCATTAGACCTTCATTTCCAAGCGCCGCCTCTGGTATACGAAAAGTTGGAAAAATCACTGGCTGAGTTGGAGGAGCTTTACTAGCCTCTGTATCTGGGTGTACATGTAGGCGCTCAAAATAATCCTCGTGGAGCACTCCCGAATCAAAGCACACCAGCAGGGTCAACAGGACTGCCCTTCCATTGAAAATGTACAAGAGAAGATTGAGCTATATCTTGTCCTCAGTGGCGGTGCAAGTGATCTACGAGGAATACTGGACTCTGATTGTATATACAGGAGATTGTTTTGAGATACATAAGCCCCGGGCACCTCAAGTAAACATCGCTAAGACAGAACATTACGCGCTCTGCACCTGCACCCACTCTAACCCCCACCCCTCCTGTGGGTGCTCAGAACAATCGGCCCTATTGGAAATGGAAAATTACCGGAGGCTATGAGAGGCTTCAGGATAATTAACAGTCTTGCAAAAGGTCAAACTGGGCCCTGATTGTTTGCTTACCATCGTTTGCGTGGCAGACTTGAGGAAGAAGACGCGGTCAGCCTCCGAGGTGACGTCATAGAGCAAGTCCGCTGATGGGTCGTATCTGCAGATTGGTTGCCTTGGACAGGTTCAAAAGGATCGTCGAACGTGGGTCTGACAATTTGCCTTTTGTAATAGTACAACAGTTCCTTTCAAAATGGATACGACTAAGTGCCACAATTTGCCTCGCTAGCAATCGAATCAAAGAGGTGAAAGGAAGTATCCTATTGGAAAGAAAGTTGGTAACCTCGCTTTGGCTGGCCCCAGGGGGGATGCGGGTTTGGACGCACACCGTGTCCTCCCACGACCACTCCTTGGCTTCCGTTCATTGTCCCAAATTCGGATGCATCGCTCTCCTTTCTGAATTTACTTACCAGCTTTTCAAAGTGGTATTGAGCTAAGGTGAAATCTTGGAGAACGTTTGCACAATAGTCAGTTTGTTTGACAGGTGTTCTGCTGTTTCATCTGATGCCCACTGATTCCACAAGGTGCATTCCAGCCCCGGTGCCTACGTCAAGCACAATGGTCAAAGGGGCAACATCCAAAAAGGTCCAGAAAGGTGGCAAACGTCACCTAAGCACCAGTTCATATAAGACAGCTCTGCTCCATCTTCTATCATCTATTTGATGCCCACTAGTTCCACAAGGTGCATTCTAGCCCTGGTGCCTACGCCAAGTGAAAATCTGAAAAGGGGCAAGGTTCAAAACAGTGGCTGAAGTCCACCTAAGCACCAGCTGTTAGAGTACAGCTCTGCTCCCAGGTACTGCCTGGTCTAGATGAGCAGATTGCCCGGAAAAGAGCTGCTTAGCTCACACGAGGCTCCAAGGTACCAGCTTTGTAGAAGGAGCTGTAGTTTGGGCTGCGCATTCTACGGCAGTCTGTGGGCCTTACCTGCTTATCAACCAATGCAAGCAATCCGCCACCAGCTTGAAGTTTGGGGCACGGAAGCTTTCAATGGAGATTTGACGGGGGTACCCGAGGGACTCCATGATCTCTGAGAAGTCTGCACAGCAATAAAAGTAGCTAGGTTCAGAGTGGTATACTCGGCCGGAGATGTCCCACCACTCCCACAGGACAAGACAACACAACTGTGCAACTGTGCAAGTTCCGTGTTTGCTGGTTCTACTTACAGGTCAAGCTTGGAAGCCCTCTCACAATCAAAAACATACAACTAACAAGCAGCAGTCGGCGCAGGAGCAAAAATCATATCATTTGAGGTGGTGGGCAAGGATTGTGCTCTAATTGCAGAAAGGCAGCGAGCTTACTTCGGAGCTCCCGGAACGACATGCTTGTACCCTGCTTCTGCCTGAGCTCTAGCGAAGGAAAGAACTCGCTTGAAGTGGCTTTCTGACCCTCTGCACCTCCAGACCCTATTTGAACTGTAAATCAATCAGCAGCAGATGGTTGACCACTATGTTCATGGGATGTCTGAGCTGAAGACAGCTCTGAGACGCCCTCCTTTAGAAGAAATTCTCTTTCCACAGGCTTCAAAAAGCCAAGGTGCTGCATGAGCTGCTGTCCAGGATTAGGGTTTCTCGCGTGTGCTCCCCTTCCGCCTTGCAAAACGGCAAGCTAGCGGAACGACTTGCAAGGCCGGAAAGTGTTGCAACCCCATTCCGGTGCCGTCCGGTCAGCCTGAGGTCAATCAA